ACACACACACACACACACACATACACATAAGAAATATGTGCAACCTGTAAAGAAAATTACACAATTTCATTTAGTTATATAGAAGAATATTTTAAATAAATGGAGATTAAATACGACGAACTGGAATTAAAAACAAAACTCTCAATGTTCTCAAAGTATTAATTTCCCTAATTTAATTTCTAAAATTAACTCCAATTAAAATGCCAGTTAGATATTTTGGGTTGGGGAGTTTTTTCTAATATTTATCTAAATAAGTAAATGAGCTAAAATGGCCTCTATTCTACCTGCTATACCAACAATGTTAAAGTAATATTGCATAGTAATCAAAACTATGCAATATTGTTGTAAAATTAGACTGTCAAGAGAAGAAAAATGAAGAAAAATGAAGCCTAGTAATAGCCATAAGTACACATAATTAAAATGCTATATTTAATTAGTGGAAATAAATGGATTATTTGACACATGGTACTGGAAAACTGAGTAGGTGTTTAGAAAATTAATTAATTAATTAGTTAGATTAGATCCAAACCTCAAGTCAGTACATCACATTCCTCCCATTACCAAAAATAAATCTCTTTTCTTTTTTTTTTTTTTTTTTTTTTTTTTTTTTATTTTTTTTTTTTTTTTTTTTTTTTTTTTTTTTTGCTGTAAATGTTCATATTACCTTTTAGGCTACCCTAAGATTCATAGTTCTTGTGTGAGATGTGTCTTCAACACTGAACTCATTTAAATATAGAAGTCCATGACACTCCCAGAACCAGAATCATATTACTGTCCATGATCTTAACAACTATACAACTCAGGAAAATCTAGTACGATAGAAAGGAAGAATTCAAAGATAAGCAAAAAATCTCCCGTGACTGAAGTCACAGGATCCTTTCAGAGAAGCACAGAAGCCAATGAATGGTCAGCAAACTGTCACCTTAAAACAAAGACACCTTGGAGAAAATACTCAAAAACGACTCACTCTTCTAAAATCTATGTCCGGGGCATGGTCCAAGATGTTTAAGACCAAGAGTATTCCTTGAAAGCTAACATATCAAAATGAGACTAGGAAGATGAGACTAGAAAGCAACAGCTCTTTGGAGAGATTCTGGATCTAACAAGAGCTGTAAGCAGTGCCAATCTAAATTTATCTGCAGCTAGAAAATGGAAGCATGCTTGAGTCATTTACTGAGACAGGAAATACAGAAAAAGCAACAGGATGGAGAGTGAAGAACAGTTGAAATGATTAGTTTTCTCTTGTAACCTGGTGAAATTAAAGTTCTGTAAAACTGAAACCATTGCTTATCATTGCCTTTATTGATGCTATCACATAGTAAGAAATTCAAAATACACTTACAGTTGACTGATGCACTGCAACCTCAAACAAATTTCAAGACATCTGATGAGGAATAGGACCTCTAAAATTTACATACTAAAATGTTATATGGGGTATAATATAAAACATATTACACAGGTTTCAATAAAATATATACTAGGTACTTTAACAAAGTCCATATAATAAAAGTTACATAGTGATTAACATCATCACTACAGAATGACACTTAGCCTCAGTCACAAAGTATTAGCTGCTTAACAGTCATTTATCCTTAGGAATACGATAACACTGTGGTTCTGATTTTTATTTTCATCATTAAAGCTTATTTGTCTAACTTGTTTGTTTTGATTAAAAATTTATCAGTGCAAGTGGTTCAAAACCTGTGCTTTTCCATAAGCATATTGAAATTTCACATTTTACATTTCAAATCAATGACTTAATATTTAATTCTTATACCTGTAGTCAGTGCCCACAGACTTATTAATCTAGTAATTATTTTTCACAATAAAATTACAAATAGACCAATGATTTAGAGTTTGTGATATGCTCTTCCTTGAAGGGGATAATAAAGACTGTCCTTTAGTAATACCATAAACAGAAGGAATATATACATATATATGTGTGTGTGTGTATATATATATGTATATATATATGTGTGTGTGTGTGTGTATGTATATATATATATATATATTTATTCATTCCTTATGTGTGTGTTTCCTGGGGTGAGGGGAAACAGAAGAAGATGAACAATTGTTTGTATGAGATTTTCAGTAGATGTGAGGAATATGTAGAGTATAGATTGCAAGTTAATTATTGTATAAAAGGTCAAAGATTTTCAAAAAAGAGCAAGACAGTTTAGGGGAAAGATATACTTGGATAATGTTTTATAAATAAGAAAACCAAACCCAAATGGATTAATTTGTGATACTTATAAATGCTTAATAGAACTTATATTAATAATTGTCAGGTATTACAGATATTTTTGGAGAAAACCAAAACAGTTTCTCCTCAAGTATGATCTGAGTACTAAGGAAATTCAGTATTTGGGTAGCCAAAATATCCAAAAGAATAGACTATTCAATAGAAATACAATCCTGACTTTTTGTTTCCTATAACTTTATTGTCTATATTTTAGACAAATAGTTTTAACCAAATGGGTAATGAGAATGGCCTGTAACAGTACAGTATAAATGATGAGATGCTATAAGGAAGTACAGAATGAGCATAACTTCCAAACACTGAAGGAAGACTGATTTCACAATGTCTTTCTCTTTTAAGCTGAAGGGGTGCCCTCATAATATGGTACAGAATCCCTATTTGTTGTTCATCCACTTATTCCTGCATCCATTCACTCAAATACATGTATTATGCATCTACTCTTTACACGCATGCTATGATCAGTGTCGTGGAGAACACGAACACAGGAATTTGTGGTGTAGAGTATACACATTCCTGTCTCTCTTTCTTATACATGCATACATATACATATATACATGTATGTATATCTGTGTGTGACTGTTAACTATGACTCAACACATCATAATTGTATAGCACTTTAGCATCTTTCAATTTGTAAGCTGCTTTCATATGCATTTTTATTTAAGCTCACCAGTGATTTTCTAGGTAGGCATTTTTATTTCCATTTTGTGAGAATAATCTCTCCCTGTTTTTGTAGATATACTGTGGGATGATACATGTGATATCCTATATTTTTAAAAGATTAAAATCATGATTATTCTTCATATAATTATATTGGTTTTAGTAACTTTTCCTAAGATGTGTTTTTAAAACTTCAAATTCATAGGATAGAATGTTAACAGAGTATTAATAATATGTACAAAAAAGAAAAGGTTATGATATAAAATAAATTTAAGCAACATTTCTTTTAGCAAAGTTTAATCAATTTCTTCAGGATTTCTCTGAGCTTACACTCTGCTAATATACCTTGTCAGTCTTTAAGAACAGGGAGGCAGTGTGCGGCGTTTCTCAAACTTACGCGATAATGGAATCTTTGTTGTTTGGAGTGTTTGGTCTGAAGTGTGAACACATTTGGAAACTGTCATGCAAAGATTCTGAGTATATTATAGCTTCATTCATTTCTAGGTATAAGAATTTTCTCCTCTTAAGCAACTGTAGCAACTTGAAATCATATTAACTGCCTGTCTGCTACCTGAAACCCAGGAATTCCCTTTCAAAGGGCTGAGAATATTATGCAATTAAATGCAAATTTTTGTGTTTCTTACTATCTATATGCCCAGATAATCTTTAAATACAAGATCAGACTGCAGAGATAATGCAACTTCATAATTAGACATTGCTATATATACTTCATTTCCACAACTTTTATAATATGCAAAGTTTACTACTAAATATAAAAAAACTGAGTTTTTAAAATATACCATTTGCTCCTTTTGACAAAAGAGTAAAATCTTGCTTCTAAAACATGGAAATATTTTCTATTGTCTAGAAGCCCTTATGAAAATAGAACAAAGCATTGACAACATTTTCATAACAGGTGGTATTTGATTTGAGTTTTCTGAAACTATCAGTAATATAAATTGTAATGATATTTTAAGTACTATGTTGTACTACTTCAGTATTGAGGTTAATTGCTTTTAGATAGACCTCCTTTGTCCATTAGAAATAAACTATGTTCAAATAAGTTTGCAGATGTATTGGGGATTGAAAAAGTATAGAACAGTGGAAAAGGATAGAAAGGACTCAAAAGTCTCAAGACATTTTAAAAACCTTGCCATCCACAGTGTGCTGTATGGGACCAGTGACACCAGTGTCACTTTAGAGTTTGTTTAAAACAGAAGGGTCTTGACTCCACCTCAGACTTCCTGAATTATAATTTGTATTAAGGGAGATCCTCAGGTCATTCCAGTGCTGTTTTTTAAAAAAAGGTTTAACGTACTGTTTTTTTAAAAAAATAATAATCAGGAGTCCTTTATTAGTGTCCACTTTAATGGCTAGAAACTTTCATTGTAGATTTTTTCCTCTTTTCTTTATCTCATGCATTCTGAAGAATGAGAATCTACAAGTAAGGGTTGTCTCTAAAAGATTTTATAATCCTTTATGTAAACTCTGAAAAAATAGGGTTAGTAAATTCCACTTTCTTCAGGAAAACCAATGGAGTTATTGAAGTAATCAGATCACAACATCATAATCCTGGTCATTTTTTTTTCTTCCATAAGGCTTGTAAATGCTAAGTAGTTAATAACTAGAGAGTCCTTCAAATCAATCAGCTTTTATGAGTTTTTATCCAATGAGGATCAGGAGACTTAGGATTAAAATTGTCAATGAAAATTTGAAAATGATGTCTGACTTAATCCTTTTTTTCCCATTCTAGATTCTTGGCCTTCCTGCCCTGCCCTGCATGATACAGATACACTGTTAGGCATTTGCAATGGATATGCCTGCTCCGGCCAAAGGGTAAGAGATAAAAGAGCTTCCTCTCTATTATAAAATATTTTTTGACCTTTGAAGTAGATTATTTATTTTAAAGTTCAGCTTGTCATAGTCTTGGAGATAATTTTGAAAAAAGACCATAAGGTAACATTTTATCTATAAAACGGGGGCTACTGACCAAGACGGAATGTATTATAGCTGAGGAAACACAGAATGGTAAGTGGGATTCCACTCTTAGACTCACATAAGGAACACAGACTGTGTTACGGTGAGCAAGATGCATTGAAAATTACCACATCTCCATATTTCAGCTCATTTCATCTGTCATCATACTGTTTGTGAATAATGCCTTTTTTTTTTTTTTTTTTAAATGCAAACACAGGACTCCACTTTCCATCATGTAAGGGTAAGATGGAAAGAGTCTCCTTGTCCTGGCAGTCTGTGTCTGAGCATGTGATTTAAGCTTGATCAACTGAATTCTTTTCTCAGGCACAGTGAATCAGAGGTGCAGGAGAGGTTAGGACTCCTGCACAGGATCTACAGACAGAAACATGTTCAGGCCATCCTTGTTTTCACAAGGATGTTACAACTGAACTAGAAATTGGCAATCTGGGGCTATCTCAGCTCATGTTCTTTTGCCAGTCTTGTTTTATATCCTTCTAATTCTAAGTGCCCTGCTAATGAATTCTTTTTTTGTTTTTACTTGCAATCAAGTATCATGACTGATACAGAAATATCACCTCTTCACTAGACTTTAAGAGTATTGTTATTTCAGTTCTACATTGCTCATTGATATAAGTTTGAACCAATGGCTGGGGGCTTCAGTTAATAATAAGAGCAGAGGTGGTGGTGATAACGGTGGCAGTTACCACCTACAAGGACATACTATGTACCAGATACTATGTGAAGTGAGTACTTATGAGAGTCAGTATTACCACACTCATAGATGAGAAAACTGAGATTGTTTAATGAAAAACCACACTTTGAGGTCATTTTAGTCAAAATCACATGCCTGGTAAATCCATGAGGCAGAGTTCAGACCTGAATCTTTTGAGCTGCAAACCAGAACTCATATTAGGATGCTAATGGAGTTCTTTGGAGACTAATTTGATAACATTGATTGAACTTTAGAGGTCATAGTAGCTAAAATAATATATACATATATTAATTGAAATATAAGAAAATATGCAAAGTCTAATTGTACAATTTTAGCTGGGTATTTACTGATGTCATCTTGTAGTAAACAAATAAAGCATCTTCCATTCCCTGCAAAGAGACTGATTATTCTGAAACATTTCCTTGCAGCCTCCCAAAAACTAAATTGTGAAAAGCACTCTCTGATTGAGTTGTGATATCTCTTTAATGCAGTGTTTAATCTTACCCTTAAGCGCTATATCTAAATTCCACAAAAGCTGGATATATCCTAACAAGCTTATAAAGTTGATGTAGGACTTGCCTCCTATATGAACCTGAAAGAAAACATCTCCTATGTATGTGCAATTGCAAGCCTATGTAAAATTTTTTCAGAGACTGACTTTCCAGTTGAAAGGTGGCACAGATAAATTATTTTGGTGATATGCAAAAGTATATAATTTGTTGTCCAGCACCAAACTAAACATGAAGGCTATACTTTTAAAGCTATTTTTAAATAACTTTCATACATAAAATGAGAAGTATTCAGTCGTCATAGTTCATGGTTCTTTCTTTTATTAGAAGTAATTGTCATAATACAATTCCCTTACTAGGTACAAATCTAAATGCTTTATATATGTTGCCTAATTTAATACTGGCAATCCCATTGAGATTGGCACTATTGTTATTGTCATTTTACAGTCATTGAAAATGAAGCAGAGTGAAACATCTCCCCATTTGGTGGCGCTCTATATTCGAAAGATCTCTGTTCAAGAGAACTTTATCCCTCGCTGTATCTTATGATGAAGTCCACACTAAAGCTTAGCACAGCCTTTAAAGATCTGGTCTCTACCTACCTACCTGTAGCCTCATTCCCTTTCTACCATACCCCCATTCAGTGCAAGTGAATTGCTTAATATATTAGTAAACCTGCTGTCACAAATGCCGTTTCCTCAGCATCTAAACAGACAAGACCTATTCACCCTTTAAAACTCAGATAATCTCTGAAAAGCCTTTGATGATATCCTAGTTAGATTTAGTGCCACCACTCTATACATATTCCTTTTGTAAAATACATCACACTGTAATATACCTATTAAATCTTTGTCTACTTTTCCCACTAGACTTTAAACTCTATGATTTGTTTTGGTATCCACAGTGCCTAACACAGAACCAAGTATGTAATGAGCACTTAAAAATTTCTTTTTTGAATGAATGACCAAAGCTTAAGTAATCCTGTTTGTTCTTCCCTTCTTTGTATTCCTAGCTGGAAAGAGTTGTTAAATCTCATTCTCTATAATTTAATAACAGTCAATGTTATTTGAAGGAATTCTAGACAAATAATTGGGAATATAGGTTATCGAATCATGATTTTGATTTAATAATTAAACTACCATGAAGATTGATTCATTCAAAGAAAAAAATTTTTGCACGCTTGCCATGTAGCAGGAAACTGTACACTATAGTGGAAATAGAGTAGCAGATCTAATAGGCAACAACTCCTTCCATTATGGAGCTTGTAAAATCTAGAGCGAAATTTCTCTTCATAAAGAAAATGAGTCGAACTAAGGTCCTCCCAGGTCTAAAATTCCATAAAACAGTAAACCAAACATCAAAATTCTTTAAAATGCAATACAGAAATACATTAAAAAGAAATAAATATAATACCAGGCAAAGCATTTCATAACCAGCCTCTGATATAAGACATGTACAAGCATAATTCTTCCTTCCAAAAATAGATACCTAATAACGAAGTAACACTGTAATGCCTTTTAAAGATTAACATTGATTTATCATAATATAAAATATTGGAACAAACTCTAGCTGTAAGTAGTTGGGCTGTAAAGAACAAAAGAAAAAATATCATCTCGTGGCAATTAAAAATAATTAGGAAGAAATGTTATTCTTTGGGAAAATGTATCTATTTTTATACACCTAATGTTAAACACCAACATAAGGAACAACATGCTCTCTCGTCAAATGTTACTTGTATGATAATTTTTTTGATTCATTATAATTGGATCCCAAAAGGTAAAATTTACTATTAGTCCACAAATTAAAGGGTAAAAACTAAATTAGCCTAGACTCTCAGCTACTTCATTATAAAGTTAGGTAGGGAAGGCCACAATTATTTAACTTGTGTTCAAATCTCAGCTGGGGAATGTTTTAAATGAACATTTAAATGATGCAAGTAATTTTAGAAGAGAAAGTCTTTGTAGACAAGCCTATAAGCCCAATATTTATATACTTAATTAGCATACAATCTTGCTAGTCATATTCCAGTAGGTGTTTGGACAGAAATCTAATTCTCTAAAGATAAATTTTCAGTCATTCTTACCATAAATGAGTAAGATATGTCAATTGTTTGACATGCCATGATCATAGGATGTACTTTCTAATACATCCTCTGACAGTTTATGTGGACATTGAGCCATAATAAGTATCTATCTATCTATCTATTTATCTATCTATAATCTATCTATCTACAATCTATCTATCTAGATATATTAATATCTACCTAGATATCTAGATAGACATTTGAAAGTCTATTTCTGGTTTCATGAGTAATGATTTTCATGGAAAAACAAACCCAAAATGTGTGCTCAATATATTTATCTAGGTATCCAGAAATATTAATATCTATCGAGATATCTAGATATATTAATGCCTATCGAGATATCTAGATATATTAATATCTATCAAGATACCTAGATAAATATATTGAGCGCACATTTTGGGTTTGTTTTTCCATGAAAATCATTGCTCATGAAACGAGAAATAGACTTTCAAATTATATGGTGAGATTTTCACATTGTAGACGAGGAAACTGAGGCCCAGAAGGTGAAAGAAATATTGCAAATCTGACAGCTGATTAGCAATGGAACCATGATGACAGGAGCCCAATGCTCTTCTTGCCACTACTTCATGCCACTGCTCTCTCTGTGAGATTGTGCTCTGGCTTACAACATTACATTGTGATTTGACTACTCATTACATTGAACTATAATGCAAGGATCAAGAATACAAAAAAAATAAGGGTGTAAATACAGAAACAATTCAAGTTGTTGGCTTTTTTTAAGCATTGACAAATAAATACTTTTTTATGTTGTGGAAAGAAAACAACAGCTAGATTATAAGTCTGCAGCAAGCCTGGCATGTTGGAAATGAAACAAAAAGCTTTCTTCATATAACTAAATTTAAGAGTGTGAATAAGCTAAATTTCCCCATCTGGAGACTTTCAGACTAGACAAGACTTACAAATTAATATGAGTGTATAGGTCTGGGGCCTGAGGAAAATAGGTCAAGTCTAAAAAGGAATCAGGTGCTGACCACAAGTCAGAATTTTAATATGGTTTCAAAACAAAGGGCAGAGATCTAATGCTCTAATTTACTGAACACCATTAGGATGATGACACAGTATGTGATGAGGAAGCCTTCAAGACAAAGTTATAAAGAAGAAACTAATATTGAAAGATGGAAAATGTTTCCATCCACATACAATTCAGACTCTGATCCTCCTTTTAACCAATTCTTCTCTCTTTCTCTCTTCTTCTCTTTCTTATTGGAACTTATTTTTATCTAGGATATTTTTGCTTTCACTAAGTACTGTAGTTTTATTTCCCCATTTCCTTTGTTTCCTAGAATTGAGGACCCACAGCAAGATATAAAAAAGTCCTTTGATAAACAAGATAAGAAAGTAATTCTGAGATAAAATTATCAGAATGTGTCAGTTGCTTTGTGTAGCTCAGAAACAAAATTGGGATGTGTAGAGGTATTTTTAAGAAACTGGACGGATTATTCCCTTCCACCTGCTTTTGTAAGGTCTCCAGCTCTTCCTCCAGTGCTGCCTTTGAAGGATTTGTATACGTCCTATGCTGAGATATTGGCATTTA